GTGGATGTGTGGATGTGTGGATGTGTAGACGTGTGCATCTGTGCATGTGTGCATGCATGGATGCATGAACGTATGTGGTATACATACGGATATACGTATCTGTGTAGGTGCCTGTAAGCGAACATATATGCACGATGGGGAGTGCGTGTTGTGCCGCTCAGCGCCGGTAGGCCCCCATTTCTTCGGGCTCACCGAAGCCTACCTATCCAGTCTTTTTGGGCTGTCTTGGTCAGCTCAGGAGTTGGAGGCGAACTCGTCGAACCGCCGAAGCAGCTCCAGGCCACTGCATCGCCCAACGAGGCCGGCTGAAGTGTGCGAGGCAGAGTGCACAACATCCAAACCAGCACAGTCAAGGTAGCATCAGTGCCCGCAGAGGAGATGTTGTTGGAACACAAAGATGACCGAATAATGTGGACGGAAATCCGGTTCTTCTTCTTCATGGTGGTTGTTGATTCGATGATGAGAAGCTGAGACTGGCATTATGCTGCTGCTGCTGACGATGATTATGGTGATGAAGATGGTGAAGACAAGGATGCTGTGGTGGCGGTGGTGTTGGTCGGGCAACGGTTGTGATCTTGATGATGTTGTTGGCGAGCGTGCTTGTGGTGATGGTAGTGATGATTATGACATACGTTGGTGGTGAAGAAGATTCGATCGATATGACAAGAAACTTCGATCGATGTGGCAATGGACGACAATCATCACGTACTACATATTGTATCTGCCGCCATATTTGGGGGACGGGGGAGCGCCTGCTCCGTAGTTCCAGCAAGGCAGCCTCTATGCCAGAGGAGCTGAACTCCATTTTGCAAGGAAGACTTTGGAAACAATTCCGCTTCAGGGCGGGCACCCTGACGGTACAGTACTTCGCCTCGAACTGCTACATGCTGAAACTGACATTCCTTGATCTGCGCTGCAGGCCTTAAGTGGCTCAATTTGGCCCGAGTTGGTGGAGCTTGCAGAAGGTGCCGTGTGGGACTGGAGACAGGCTAGGAATACAGGCCTCAGTTACTAAGACCTGGTGGCACAGTCAAGTTGCGGTGACATGGATTGCTTCACAGGAAATCTGAACTTCATGTCAGCACCGAGTGTGATCTTTCGTGCTTGTTCTGCCAGTCACGAACTTGTTGCAAGTATGGCCAATCTAATTCCTACATCGCCAGGCACAACAGAATCTCCGTGGGACTGCGACGATGTGGTCTATGCCTCTTGCCTTCTCTGCTGTCGACCGAGCACCCGGGGCGAATAGGTGCCCACGGCGTTTCCAAAGCCTGCTCCAGTTGGCCGTCTTGAGAGACGGCTCCAGCAGCAGTAGCTCTAAATGCGATGCTAAAACGCAGACATCAACGCTGCATCAATTTCAGGTCGACGGCGCCTGGAACTTTTTCCATCCAGGGCACCAGCGCATCCTCCGGGAGCCACATTCGGGGGTTGCGGGGGTGGGGCAACCGGGCGACTTTACCTCTTCGCGCTTTGTGGCCACGCGATAGGTCTCACAAGTTATGTTCGAGAGCATCAGGAGTGAGAAGATTGGCATCAGGGCTAAGGTCAGAACACGTTATACCAATAGCAGTATTTAGCCGTATCAGTCACGGTAGCCATAATGTGAGCAGTCACCTTTAGTTCAAGGCTCTTCTGAGAATCTGAGAGCCACTGTGTTTCTGGAATAGCCTAGCTAGCACGATCAGCGAAGATGCTCGGACAAATCCACGATGTTTTGGCTTCCCGAAGTCTAAGAACCTAGTTCAAGAAATACCTTTGCGGTTAGGATCAGCGCATAAGTTTTTGTCAGGCGCTTTGGGTCTGTCAGGTGCCATGTGAAACTGATAATTGGCGGTCTTGTCTTCTTAGGAGGCGAAGCAACGTGGGTCACACGTTCTCGTCGGCATCCACTCTGATGCCACGCTGCAGCTTGCCTTGAAATTGAGGCTTTGCGATTTTGGGCTGGTTTGGCCCTATGAAATCCTTGCGTGTGAGTTCTGCGCGTACCCGGAAGCACTGCAAATCACCACAAAAGTGCTGGCAAGTTGGAACCTAGGACCCCTCCCGGCCTCCCCCGATGACCCTGCAAGGAACGACTTGTTCGGAAAGCCGAGCCATGAGAACGTTGGGACTCGCCTTGGTCGGATTCTCCAGAGCCGATTTGTGCCGCTTGCCCGGCAGGGGCAGTTGTTGAGATCGTGGCCCCGATGCGACGGGCTTTCGCTTGCCGCGGCTCAGGTCTTTCGTGCTGAAGGATGCTCCATGGGTGGTTCCGCAGGACGTTTTTCAGAGTGTTCCATTGACCATGAAGCCTCCGCTTGCCACAAGCGGCACTTGAGGACTTGATTCAGGCGCTTTGCATCAAGAAGGCGGCCAGATTCGCACAGCGCAGTGTAATTGTTGTCGCAATGCAGAAACGACCGCATGCGCCGGAATTGTGTGCGATACCTTTCTTACTGCAGGTGATCACCGGTTCCGTGGACAAGGTCACTGACTGCGGCAAGGCGAGGCGTATGAGAATTGCCAGGCTTTCCTCTGCACGCGGGATCATCTCAGTGGTGAAGCTTTGGGTGTAGACTCCGTAGACAAGATGGAGCATGATTGGGCCACTGTCCCTTCCAAAGTGGACTTTTTGGATAGTGAATAGAGTCTTAGACGCTTGACGTCGATCTCCTTTTCATGCCAGGTTGATTTAGTTGTTGTCAAGTAAGGGCAAAGCCGCCTTGATCTTTACTCTTCTGAATCTTCCGCCTCCACGCGCGTGCCAGATTCTTATCGACGAGATGTCCTACGATCCGTACAAGATTCCCCGCGAGCTGGGGATCTTGGAGGTGATCAACTCACAGGACTCCATCACTGAACCTTGGACCTGTTGGGTAGAAGCTTGTAAGGGCTCTCAGAGTGAGGACTTTGGGGGTGGGATGTAGAGCTTGGTATTGCTCGCTGTACTTTGCTCTGGTGAGCTGGGATCTCGGTCTAGTCATGATGTACAAGATTGCTTGAACTGATTCGGCTCGGGCTTGCCGATCCGTTCACTGAAGCAGGCTCAGGCCCGCACAAAGGAAACAGAGTTGAATGCTGGGCTGAGTTGTAAAAAGATGACTAGCACGTAATTCGCACCGACACATTTTCCTTCTAACAAGGATCAGCGGTTGACTTTACTCGGGAGGGTAGCCCATCATCGGGCAACAGCGCCATCGTCGAAACATGTGATAGGAGTGTGAGAATGCAGATACTGTCGATGCAACTTGGTGCTAGCTAAGGAGACAAGTTTTCAGGAGGAACACAAGACGCGCGCTCTACAGGGTGCAACGCATCCTGAGAAGACAGCATGACATGCGTGGGGGCACGGAATAAGATGGCCTCCTCCGGGGTTTCGAGGCAAAACCAGTGTCGAGGAGAAGGGACGTTTGGTCCATCCCGGCACATCAGGAGATGGCATGTATCCTTTTGTACATAGCACTGCTTGCCGAGCAGGCAGCACAGGAACCGGCAAGACATATTCCGCAATCAAACCACACCGCGAAGTTGTGCACGACGAAACTTACTTCATTGCGGTAGGGCTGCTGCCGAGTCACCGCTGCTGCTTGCCCAAGCAAATCATTTGTCACCTACTCCATTTCTTCCTTCACAATCCTGAGGGAGCTTCAGGAAGTTTTTCGTTCAACCAGAATTGCTTGTGACCCAGCTGGCAACTGCCGAACGTTGTACCACAGCCATCGTAGTCTCTCCTTATTTGGATGCGCGAAGCGCTTGCTGTGCCGCGAGTCGCATGCGCGTAGCTGGTGCTCGGCTCGGAGCAGCCGGCTTTAGCTAGCCGAATCATTGCAACGGCTGGTGTTTGTAGTCGTTGCCAGCTTTGACCTCTCACTCAAGTGATTGGCAATTGGTCTTTGTAAATGCAGTGGGGCCTTCTCAAGTGCTTGTCAGACTGTCTTGGGCAGAGAGCAAAGCTCTTTGCACAGCCGTAGAATCGAACAGAGTCCTTCATCCAAGAAATCATTCCTACTCGCTTCTTCTGAGACGGTCTTTCCCAAGCCCGATGCCAGATGGCCACAAGTGCCACAGTAATCAATAGTTCGTGTAGGAACAACCGCTGAGACTGTCTACCTTCTTGTCAGCTCCAACAGAGGTACTTGTAGTTTATTTCACAAGAACACGGTAGCTGAACACTCTATTTCTGGATCTAGGGATGGCATCTGACTTTGGCCCATGCTGTGCGGCTATGACCCAGCAGCCGCCCCGTCATGTCCACCACAGACCTGCGAGTAGCTCGGAGCTTTTGCTCTTCTTGCTGCCTTGCTCCTATGGCGCACACAAAACTACAGCTGCTGTGTCGGCTTGAATGCTTGTTGCACTGCGTGACCATTCGGGGGAGCTAGAGTTTGGGACTTGGAATCCACATGAGAAAAGTGTGTGTGTGTGTGTCTGTGTGCTGTGCTCCTGTGTATGTTTTGTGGCTCCTGCTGGGATGGCTTGTGTCATTCTAGCTGCTCCAGCTCCATGGCATCCCTCACAGATAGATGTGAAGTGCTTGATTGATGTTTTCAAGGTGTCTGCAGATCGAAGCAGAAAGAGGCTCGGCTGCTGCCAAGCACATGCTGCATCAAGCCCTGCGCGTGAAGGCAGAGAGTGGAGCGAGGAGTGCCAGTCACGCGACGTTGCCTGTGGTGCAGCTGTGCGTGAAACACATCTGGGCCTGACGAGCGTACTCGCCAGACTGAACTTGATTGCTTGTCACAATGCTTGTTCGCCTTGGTCTTTGGCTCCGAGTGCGGGAGTTCCAAGCGCTTGGCCGAAGTCTGCGCACATGTTCTGAGTGACCCTGCTGCAACAATCAAGGCGGCCAGCGTTTCAGAAGGCGCAGCGATCACGCAATGAGCCTCAGGACATTGAAGAGCCTTTCTGGCGCCACCGCGAGGCCGCTGAAACAGTCGCCGTAGCAGAGTCCGAGTGTTCTCGCTGCAAACGGCGGCTGTGTGCTGTTTGTCGGACATGCAACATCCCAAGCCCACAACCCGATGTTTCCATTCAAGCGAGTGAGGGCTGCCGATAAATAAGCGACACCCTGCAAATCGTAGGATCCGTGTGAGAAGGTTGCCTTTCATTGTAGAAGACATCCGAGTTCCGTGGCTTTCACAGGCCTGGGGCGGCCTGCGCCAGAATGCGGAGCCCCGTCTGGGCCTTGGGCCTTGGTTGTTTGAGATTGAGACTGGAAGTTAAGCTGAGAACAAGCTGGACATAGCTGGACTTTTGGGTTGGGCAGGTGACGGTCGGTCCCGGTTGGTAAGGTCGATTCGGATTCGAGTTTGCATGGACTCCCTGACATCCGTTATCTTAGAGGGTTTATTGGCCTTGGAGTGAAGTAGAAGGCTTTGGAACTTCGGGGTCTCGATGTGCAAGGTCCGAGTCCCAACCCTCACTTCTTACTGCTGCAATCCCCAAAGCTTCCTGGCTTCACACTGCGGCGGCTGCTTTTCAGTCCGAGCGCTTGCAAGGTGTATATTGCTTTCCTTTGGTTCTGGCTGGAGCCCGCAGAAGGCCATGACTCCGTGGGGCGGGATGCGGGATCACAGAGGGCTGTAGGTTTTGCTAGGATGAGCTGGGGATGGCCGGAACCTTTCGGCGGAAACCTGAAGCGGACGACAGATGAGGTTGCGCTGTGTAGCTGCCCTCACGGAAATAATGCCCAACATCTAGAGTCTGGAGGATTGCACAGACCACACACGTTCAGTTTGTGAGATCTGGCCCCAATTTTGGGAGCAGTCACATCTTGCAAGAAAAAGCATCTGGCTTTGCATTGGCTCGGTTTGGGAGCCCGACGTCAGGATTATTTCAGCATGGGAGGGTTGAGTCGATCTTTCCGTGAGCGGCCGGAACACGTGCCGGTTCGGACTCTTAATCTACAAATCAAGGAATTCCACACTCCCCGCAACCCGCCAAAATCATTGCCCTTGCTGCGACTGTGACACTTCCGACCTCTAAGACTCACATGCGGACACTCATTTGTGGCGACTCCGTCAGGGCTCATCTCCTCGCGTGAGCTGCTGGAAGAGCGTTCGCCCAGCAGGCTCACGAAATTCTTTTGACTTTCTCATTCTTTCAACTTCTGTTTGAGCTTTGGGGTTTGGAACCTCGGCTCGGGTTTCGAATTTTGACGCTCGGGCTGGAGAGGAGTTGAAGCAGTTGCGAGGTGTGGTTCTGGAAGTTAGCTCTTTGCTGCCCGGCTGCGTGGTCGATCCAAGCCCTGCCATTGGCCTACAGCCTCGTCATTCAAAGAGAGTGGGGCTTCTCGGGGGCCCTGGGCCCTGGACGTGGCGTTTTGAGCATTACATCATTACATCCGCGCCGCGCCACAGTAAAGCGTTTCACCGGAAACGGTTTTGATTCATACCTCTGCCGATTCAAACACATACGTTTTTTGAACCAACCCGCAGCGAACACAGTCAGTCGAACGTCGGTTTTCACGGCTGTGTTGTTGTTGATTCGTTCCTTATTTCACTACTGGCATCATGTACTTACTGGGCCCTGATGAAAACCACCACCACCACCACCACCACCACCACCCCCACCACCATCGTCATCGTCACCTTCTTCATCATCGTCGTCGTCGCCATAGGTATTCACATGATAGGACATCATCCTGCGACTAATCATCATCAGCTCAGCCGGATCTTCATCACCCTATTCGTCGATGTCGTGAGACTCTAGTGGTTTCGCATTCTCTATGGGTTTTGCAGCTCGCACGCCACTGCAAAGGCTTCGCCAGACAGTCTGCCGATGCGACAAAAGTCGAAGTACTCCCGCGCCCTCCACGGCTCGGCATCATCGTCCTCGCTGTGGCCGTTGCCGTGACCATCACGCAGTCGTAACCAGAGTCGTCGTCCTCACCGCGGCTGTTGCCATGGCCGTCGCCTAGTCGTCACGGTTGTCGTCGAATTGCAATCGTCGTTGTCGCAAGAACACTGCTAATTACAAGGATTCACAAGAGTGCTAAGCGCAGTGGCGACGCCGCCTGTGTAGGCCAAGCAGCAAATCAAAGGATGCGCCAGAGGCACGGAGTTCTTGCTGGACCATCTGTTTTGCAGCCTGGCGTTTTTGCAGAATCAGAACCAATACTCGCAATATCAGCAACAAGAAGCACCGCAAAGAAGCAAGAGCAGTACTTGTAACAACAGCGAGAATCGTTGACCCAGCCCCCCGTTCTGGGAATCGTCATGAGCGGACCCCAACATGACAGGCTGGCAAAGCCGAGCCTCCGGTGCTGAGCTACCTGAGGCGTGACTGTGCTGTCGTCGTTCTGCTGCTGTTGCTGCGCTGCTGCAGCTGCTTTTCTTTTGCTGTATTCCTTGAATTTTGCTATCATGTGCCGCTTGGTAGCCGCATCCGGAAGAGATGACGGGCCGGAGAGGGAGAGGGGGGAGGGTCAGGGCCCGAGTCCCAAAGTTCTCGAAAGAGGAGCAGGGAAGACGATTCTGCGTCGTTGGCCTCTGTCAGGGACAGCTCTGGGAGAGTCGAAGAGTTCTCCAGCTGCACTCTCGTGATGCCCTGAGCTCTTCAGTGTTTTGGGGGCAAGTTCGACGCAGGTTGGGCTTTCTGAGGATTCTGAGGATGCTGGGGATGGTAGCAAGGCGTCCTCCGCAGCTGCATACCACATGCATATGATTGAAGGGCTGCATGGGCCGGGCTTTGGTCACACATTTCCGCAACAGGCTATTGACGATCGCAGTGACAGCAAACGTATCAAAAGGGGCCGCTGGGACGGTCAAAAGCCTCACGCATGCATTGTGAGGCTTGCCAGCAGTGCTATCAAGACCACTTTCAAGCTTGCCTGGCCTACTGCAAGCACGGCTGTCAGGACACGGCTGCCTTGTGATCTCCGCTGTTCAAAAGGTCAACCAGGTCAACTAAGGTTCACATGCATGATATCAGAGTCTGCTGAAGCCTGTCACTTGTGCTGGGGGTCCGGACTGGGAAAGCAGGGCAAGGAAATACAAGGAAAGATAGGAACGATGTGCCTCCGTCTCCAACCCCCCTCCACTTCATGTCATGGGCCATGTGCGCCATTTCACATCGCCGGGTCGGGAGCCAGATCAAAAAGCCTTGAGCCACGGCTGAGGGTTACTTCCACTATGTAGGGCATGATGGATCGAAGCAGAGAAGTAGACAGCTCCGCGAGGACTACTGCGAGGAGAAGATGTCGGATGAGGAGTGCAAGGCCTTCACACGAGCTTCTGAATTTGTGGTCAGTGACGGGCTATTGCCTAGGGAGATGAGAACTCCTGGTTCGCTTTAGTATTCGCCAGTTGAGAGGCTGAGGATCCCGGTGAGGTTTGGGCCGTGCACTCAGTCGCCACACCCTGGGGCTCGCGGAGCCGCGTTTCAGCGTTTCGCAGACAAGGTCGCCAAGATTGGAAGCCTCTTCGACTTGATGCAGAACTCTGGGCAACTCTGCCAGGCCTGCTATCTTACTCGGCCTAGTTACGAGCTGTGGCGACTGGCATTTCTCATGACATCTCGCATCACTCTTCCCCTGCAAGATGAAGTCGCCCGACGGGTGTCCAAGCAGCTGTGGCCCCAGCCGCCATGGCGAGAGGTTCTGTCACCATGTGCCCCTCGATATGCTGCGCCTTGTTGGAAATGAGCCGATTGCCCGAGAGTCTTGAGGCGGTCGAATACCAAGCTCGCTGCCTCCTAACACGCCTTACTAGGCAGGGTCTCCTGCGTCATGGCATGTCTCCAAACGACCGAACATGTGGACACAACCGCACTTTCTCGCGCGTTCCCTTGCAGCGGATTGGTTTATGAAAGAAAATGATCGCTGCTCTTGCGCTTGTGCTGCAAGTCGTTTCTGTGGCGCAGGTCAGGCGGCTTTCTGAGGCTTGGGCCAGCTTGCGTCGGGCAGGGGGCAGAGTCCATGGTTCGAGGTCGAACGGCCTGGATGCTTTCGCCACTTCTTTCCTGGTTGCAAAGCTACATTGATCAGCTAACTCAGTGCGTTCGACTCCGGCGATCTATCAAGCGCCCTTGTGGTGCAAAGTGTTTCACCGAACACAGCAGCGTGCGTGTGACTTGAGCCTGCGAGCCAAGTTAAAAAGTCTGTTTTCTGCCGCCATCATGACTGCCTGTTACCGCTACAGTTCGGACATGCGGCTTGTCAACAGCGAGTGCACGGACGCACAGTGAGTCCTTTAAGACATGATGCAGTCTGGCAAAGCTTGCCCTTTACAGCTCATCGTCCCCGTGGGCTTGCCTGGAACTGGCCTCCACGACTACTCGCGGCGCCTACGTGAGGACGGCCGTAATTGCCTGTATTTATAGCATGCAGCCACCATGGAAGTAACAGCAGCCCAAGATAGCTCAAGCAACTTGCTCTCACCGTGCGCAGCTGATTTATTCATCTGCTTATACTATGTCGTTCAAGCAGCGACGGCAACATTCCCTTACATGTTTGGCTCACTTGCTGACATGGCGAGCGGTATGTACGGTATGGAAAAGTGCAAACTATGTGTTCGGATGGTTGGTGGCCAGACATGCGAGTACATCGAACAAGTACCATCGGCATTGTAGTGCAGCTCCATAGATACATGCTTGACATGTGCACTTCGTACCAAGAACGGATCGACATCAAGAGGAGGGACCTGATCCAAACAGACATGCCCTAACTACACTGGGACCACTGGGCGCTTGTCGCTCGAAGCTTAGAAGCCCTGGGCCATCCTGGGCCTGGTTGTCCCTAGCCCAGTTAAGCCCTACAGTGGCCCTACAGCCTACAGTCGCAAGGTGACGCAAAGTCCGTGTCTACGAGATCCCATGCTCCCGTTGCAGCGCCATGGCTTCGTGCTTTGTCGTCTTTCTGCTGGCCTTACTTTGCCGCGGGGCATCCCTGCGGCAGGGCTTTACCGACTGCACCGGGGAGGACACATTTGCGGAGGAGCAGGCTCTTTGATTTGTTCCACACTCGCAGAGTGGATGAGGACACCTCAGATCACGGCTTGCGCCGCGCATACAGGCGCTTGGCGCTGGAGAACCATCCGGACAAGGGTGGAAGCCGCTGGAATGCACCGGATATCTTCAACCGATGAAGCTGAGAGCGTTCACAGGTACACCTCTGCAAACAACTGCTTCGTGACAACCAACCGAATCGATTTGATTATGATATGGCCTTTCCAAGTTTCAGTTGTGAGCTGTTCCGAGGTAACGAGCTGACATCGGACCTCACGGCTTTACGTGACAACTTCCTGCGCGACCCTTTGCACTTCCAGGTCTTCAGCGCTCGGGCTGCATGCCATCCGGAACTCGGGTTCTTGAGCGTCGTAGTGCTGGGCTCACGGCTGCTCAGATTGCAAGATGGGGTCTTCCCGGCTGCAGAGGGAAGTCTTGGGCCCTACTTGGGGAAGGCGCACCATTGGCCCATTGATCCCAGGGGCCACCTTTGCGGCAGAGCTCCTGGCCTTCGGCAACGGGCCCCGTGGTCGGCTGCGGCGTGCGAATGCAAGCGCACTTGGGCCTTGCTTGGGAGATCATTGCTGTCGGTAAATGCAGCCAGGTGAAAGCCGACAAGCTGGACCTAGCTATGTAGGCCGGAGCATCTGAAAAGCCGCCTTTAGGTACAGCTGCATGACGGCTGGCCGTACATCCAGGACAGGCCACGGTTCTCGGAAGTAAAGAGTTTGCACAGCAACAGCGAAGCTGACAGCTTGTCTTGGATTTGGTCTCTCACGAGCCGATTGTGCGCACGAAGCACACATCCCTGCGAGTGCCTGGAAGCGAGCAGCCAGAATCAAGAAGACCAGACTCGCCGCCCCGACCCCCCATTCTGAAATGCTGTCTGCGGTAAGCCGTCGTGCGAGTCCATTCTGGTCTTGCGGCACAGCAGTCAAAGTCCTTCGAGCCCGGATTCCGACTGATTCCGATATGTGGACGGCACTTCTCATGCTTGGCCGGCGAGACCGTTTGAGTGCAATCTTGCAGTCATCATCATTGCAGGTTGAACTCGACTTGGATCATGGTGGGCTGCTGCTCGATGGGGGCAGCTGGACTTTCGCCTTTGGCTTGAAAAATGCCAGCACCGTCCACTACCGTGGGGATGAAGCTCAGCTGACTGAGCGTGCTGCTGTGTAGGCCCAGCTGAGAATTCTACAGTGGCTTGCGGCCACTCGTTCAGCAAAGGAGCGGGCCCGCGGCTACGATGTTTGCTGCGACTTCGTTCAAGATTCGCGGTGCCAACGTCGGCCAGCGTCGATTTCTCAGAATCTGTCAATTGCACAGCTGCATCGTTCGTTGCATGGGCATTTCCGGATACATGGCTCTCGAAAACAGTCGTGATGTCGGGAGTCATGGCATGGCCTTCGAGCCTAATCCGTCATCCAAACCTTAAGAACAAATTTGTCATTTTTGGCTCCAGCACCGAAGAGTGTTCTGATGCTCTGAAATCAAGAGCGGTACAAAATCCGCAGAGTCGCTACGAGAGTACCTAGCAGCCTGCAGGATGAGGTCGGCATGCGGGGACAACGGGAAAGGCGGCAAGACCTGGAAGGTCCGGGATACGACGTCCAATGCAACGGTGAACTCAGAAGGTGGGGAAGCAACCGTTGTATTGATACGTCTTCCAACAAGACTCTGAAACCAGAGATTCTACTAGCTTTGCTGGATGAAAACTTTCCCCTGCGTAGAGGACTACTTCTATTTGCCCATGAACATGGGCAAATTCGAGAACCGCGGCTTAACCGCCTTGCCCCACCCAACATCCTCGCAATCCTCACATCTCACACGACACAGGGTGGTGTCAGCACTCCTTTGTTTGCTCGAACCGAGGTCCAACATCAGCGCGCCAGAGCCCAAATGCCAAAAGGACTCTGCCACGAGCTGCCTGGAGCTTAGGCGTTTAGCCTCCAGTCCGGCATACTTGGACAAGTGCGCTTTCCATCACATTCCCCTCGAAAGATACCCAGGTCATGAAGGCATCAGCAACCTAAGCAGCTTGTACTCTACTTCCGACTGTCCTTTGCCGCCCTTGGTTACAGCCTCTGTCAGGAGGCAGGGCGTGTCAAGACTGCTGTGGTAATTGCCCTACAGTTGTCTCAACACGTGGAGGCCACTCCATCTGAACATGACCGGCCAATGGGGAGCAGCGCTTCAGGTCAAAGATGCTTCCGGCGAGGAGGCTTCGCATGGGGCTTCGCAGCTTGCTTGGCTTACCTGCAGCAGTGCTCTTGGACGTGTGGGCCAGGTTGCCTGCGTTGCTTTTGCCGTTGCGCACTCGATGCACATCGAGCCGGAGACGGGGTCCACGCTGGCAGGCGCTCTCTCATAGCAGCTCTGAGCAGCTTCCCCCTCCTTTAGGAAGTCTCTGACGCTTGAAGGCAGCCCCGGCGGTGCTAGTGGGCTCGGACTCGATGGGGTCGGCACTGACAATGCCACGCACCAGCGAGGTGCATCGGCCTCTTGGCAAGCCAAATCCTTTGAAGCATCGTTGCAGATGTTGATTCTTTTCTGTTTTCAGAATGTCAGGTGATCTCCCTGAAAAACACTGGCTATGTCGTGCTATGCTGTGCTATGCTGTGCCTTTAAGGAACTTCCGGAGGTGTCCTTCCAGCACGTGGGCAGCGGCCAGTTCTGTGAAGATGGTGGGGACCTGCTCGAAGGAGCCTTGGGCTTGAAGCATGTTGAAGTGAAGGACGAGAACGAGGAGTTTTAAGTTGACTTGGGATGATCCTACAGTCGCTGCAGGTGCCCTGGACGACTACGGCGGTCTGTCTCCGTTTGGAGGCGCGGCGGGGGGAAATCTGTCGATCTCGTGATTCCAGCCGATCCTTTCTGCAGGTGCTCGAAGAGCGAGCGCGGAAAGCTCCATGTTCTATGGCTCCAAGTGCCGTGAGCGCTGCCGGCGGAAAATGAATTGTCGAAGCTGAGCAGAATAAGGTTTATACGGGTGAGCTCCGAGAGGTGATAAGCCAGTCGAGGCTCAAGGCCCTTGGCGCGTTTTCTCGGAAACTGAGGATTCTACACTGCTTATAGCAGTGGGTGGTGCCAGCTCTCCAGCCGCTGTGCATTGGCCACCCGATGCAATCCTGGACCTTTGGGGTTCCACGGTACAATGCAGCTCAGGGACAGTGCAAAATACAGTGAGCCTGCAGAGATTCAACATCAGTGCAAGCACAATACAAGCAGCTTCAACGGACAAGATGCTGACCGTCCAGTTACCTGTCCTGTTCGAGGGACGGGTTCAGGTGTCGATATTAGACATTTGACATGTTCAGTGCCGCAGTGCCGCTGCAAAATGTCGGAGATCGAGAACTGTGATGTCGCCGACCCTCTTAAAGTGACTTCACCTTCTCTGTTGCTGCGTAGCCTTCCTGTGGTCGAGTTGTCATAATTGTGGCAACCTCCTGGAGCTTCATTGTCCGCTGCCAACATCATAATCTAGTCCGTTCTAGTCCGCAAAGATCTGCCCGATATAAACATTGCACTTGCGCATACTACGAACATGAGCACAGCATGTCGCTCGGCCCTGTTGGTACGACACGGATTGCGCGGCTCACTTTGAGTTCGTGGGTAGCTGCCCTGTCTTTTCCATCCGAGCCTGAACGGTAAGACATCGGACAGCATCCCACACAAGAAGGCAAGATGGACATGGCTGCCTCGCCAAGGCTCGTGCTGGCGATCCCTTGACGGTGACTTTTGCGAAGACCCCTCGCGCTTAGCAGTTGTCCGACGAAAACTCGGATGCGAGTGCAAAGCTTTTGCCCGGGGAGCACGTGACATTATCAAAGACCCATGCCTGGGGAGGAGAACCCAGATTTGCTGGAGATCGGTGACGGGATGATAGAAGAGTGGCCATGCTGGCCGCAGTTTGAAGAGTTTAGCTGCTAGCCGCTAGCCTGCCACGCAGCGTTTGTGGCAGTTCCAAATTGCGGCAACTCGTGGCAGGTGCTTGTCCAGCGGGCTTCAGCGGAGTAGGCCAAGCAAGGGCCAGACTTGCTTTCCTTCGCGGTGGAGCCGCGACTTCTGTGGCACTCGAATCCTTGTGGCTCTCCGCCTCGTGCGGCAGGGCACCTGGCCCTGAGCACTCCAGCGATGAGCCGGATCTGGAGGCCTTCGAAGAGTTCGACCCTGAGGCCCGCTGCAGCTCTTTCTTCCGTTTCTTTTTCGTGATCGCCAGCCTCGGTCTGTGCGGCGCGGTTGCGCATGCCACTTGTAGATGCCTGAGTGCAGCACTTGCAGGGCCATCGCAAGTCCAAGTCGTGTTAAAAGCACGCCATCCGACCGCTCTCAGAGAGGAATCCGAATAAGTCCTGAAGTTTGGCTGGTTCAGGCACGGCGAACGCTTGGAACCCTGGCTCGGTTAAGCGGCCGCAGCCCGGAGCTCAGTCACTATACACAATGTTTGGTGCAACAACGCCAAGCTCGATCTCATTGAGTCTCACTTGTCCTGGTGGCACAACCCGGCCGAACTGCAAAGGCGGGGCTCATGTGATCAGGGCCTAGGATTGCTTTGGAGAGCATGGCCTAGTCCGCTTATTCCCATTGCCCTCGCAAGATCTTACTGCCGGACGTGGCACGTCACGAGGCCTTGTCCGAAGCAGCGTCGCTCTTGGTTTGTTGGAGGCGCACACTGGGTAGCGGGCGACCCATTTTCTTACATGTTGTGGAGATCTGCTGGGCGATGCGCGGGATGCAACTTGTAGCTTCTGCGCGTGAGCGCGCGCGCTCTTAGCTGGTTTGCACCAGATGCAGAGCAACTGAAAACACACATACCCACCTCACGTTACGTTACATACCTACCCACATCCCTACCTGCCTACCGACCACCCGTACCCACCGACCTGCATATATACGACACGGACCCGCACACAGGAAAGCTACATGTTAAGCTGTATCGGTGCATGCATCTACCTATCCCTCCATGTCTTGGGCCCATCAGCCAAAGAGCTGACAGCCATGAACTTCGACCGGATGCTGATGGCCTCCTTCGTTCCTTCGAGGCCCCGACAGTGGAAAGCTGCGGCGCCCAAACCGGAGCCAAGGCGGGTCCACTCCCTGCGATGTTCTACCACATCAGAGAGGGGAGACAGGTGGTGGGGGGACGCCTAAGGCGCTGGTCTGGCGCCGTCAGACTCTTTCTTTGGGAATGAATCTATCTACCTGTCTGTCTATCTATCTACCTATCTACCTATCTGCCTATCTACCTGCTTACTATCTATCTATCTATCTCTCAATCAATCTCTCTCTCTCTCTCTCTCTCCCTCCCTCTCTCCTTTTCTATCTATCCATCTATCTGAGATAAGTGTATATGTATAGTGTATTTAGTGCACTCGAACAGTAGAATATGCTTACGGACATGCGAGGGCCAGTATGAAACAAGAGCTGCACGATGGAATGTAGGCCCCCAGGCGTTTCTTTCGTCTTGCTAACTCTTTCTTTTCTCTTTCTGTCTGCCCCAGTAAGCATGTAAGCATACAGGCACATAAACCTGTATGACATCTATATGGATGTAGTTTTACATGTGCACGCCAGCGCGTGCAAACACACATGTACATGAACATGGTGATATGTGTGTATGTATGCATGCATGCATGCATGCATGTATGTTTGTATGTATGTTTGTTTGTTTGTACAGTACGTATGATCATGTATGTATGTATGTATGTATGTATGTATGTATGTATGTATGTATGTATGTATGTATGTATATGTGTATGTGTATGTATATGTATATGTGTATGTGCATGTGCATGTGTATGTGTATGTGTATGTGTATGTATTTATGTATGTATGTATGTATGTATGTATGTACGTATATCTATGTACATATATATGAGGCACTTTTAGGATCTATTTGACGCCTTGGCCTGGTTACTAAAAATGATGAAATTAACACAATCAAAATAATTTAAGTATACTTCAGGTATTTTATTTCCTTTTGCTAGTTGACATTGATCTATCACTTTGCTTCGCTATGCGGCTCTCCAGCTTGGAATCAGTCCAAGTGGCCCTTCGTGTTGCACGTGCACACGACGGACGAGGGAAATGTGACCTCCGTAAATTGTTGCTCAAGCGAAGGTCCGTGGTAAAGAAACAGAAGACAGGCATGAGGGTTGGAGGCAAAGGTCAAGGAACTGGGCGGTGATTTGTCAGGGGAGTGTTCTTCTTCGTCCTCATTGCTGGGAAGTTTGTCATCTGACAGCGGAAGTGAGACGGAGACGGCGTCCCCAAAGGGTGCACCTACTAAGGAGGTGGTAAAACCCCGCTATGCAATTCTCATGCAGTGTTCACAGAGTAGTACAAAGCGTTCTCTTGTAATCTGCATCGTGCATGCGACGCAGATTTCGGGATGTATGCTTGATTGATGCTTTCCGGTCTTTGGGAATCAAAGCGCAATACGAGGGCCACGGACTTTGGGGTGATCCACGGCACTTGCCGCCTTGTTGGAACGGGTAACAGCCCACACCACCATGGGGGGCTGACCGTCCCGGGACATCGTGGATGTCCCAAAGGTCGGGAGAGCCGTCTCAACTGCCTACCGTTATTTAAACCTCATCGTCTTCGTGTCGACTGATCAAAACTGGTGGCGATCGATCAAAACCCGTGACGATGGACCGAAACCCGCGGCGATCGATCAGAACCCGTGGCGATTGATCAAAACCCGTGGCGATTGATCAAAACCCGTGGCCATCGATCAAACCTCGCGGCGACTGATCGAAACTCGTGGCTACCGACCAAATCTCGCAGTGATTGATCAACACTCGCGGTGATGGATGCAACGTCGCGTGTGCAAAAAACGAGCTTTGCCATTTTGGTTCGCGTAGGAATCCCAAACGAAAACCAGAAAGCATCTTTGCACACGTGCGAGAACGAGGTTTGCTACTTTGGTTAGCCTACCAGGAATCCCACGTGAAGGCCTGCGGCATTCAGGACACAGTCACTGCCGATCCCAAAGCGGAAACCCCAAAGCCGGAATCCCGGATTGCACCCATTCACCGAATCCCTGGAGAGGCACATTTGCTTGCACTTTGCACTGTTTTGGTACGGACTCGCGCATATCTTTGTGTACTGAACTGATAGGACAATCGCGGTAGCTTGATTGATGAAGTTGTGTTTGCTCGTATTGATGCCGCCGCCGCCTGCAGCCTTTTGCTTCAAGCTCTCGCCGTGCAACCTTCTCTACTCTCGTGTCGTTGTGTCCTCGGGGGTCGATAGTAGGGTTCCTTTGTTAGAGTTAGTTGCCGAGGTGTCCATGGCTGCCCTCCCCGGCCCCGGCCTCAGACGGTAGCCACGGTCCCGATACACCATCGTCGCATCAGGTCCGATCTACGCGGATGCAGCGGCGGTCGAGATCGATCTGGAGGCGGACGACGAACCCCAAATGACGCTCCTGCCTCAGACCGGGTTCCCTTTTTTTTCCTGGGTGGTAGCATCTCGTAGCGGATTCGTGCCAGGTATCCCGCCTGGTGGCAAACCAGGCACGCCGCCAAGGCGGAGCACTCAGCCTAAGCGAACCGCCAGCGATCCTGTTGGCAGGTCTTCGACCTGGAGAAGGCGATGCTAGAGCGGGTGCAACCAGGCCGGTCCGACTGACACCATATCGTTGTTCTCGCACTTTCATGCTAGGCGATGGCGTGTACTCGGTTTACGAGAAGGCGGGTACTGGTAGTCTGCAGCGTTGCTTGATAGACCTCAGCTTACTTCAGGCCGCCGCTTGGCC